GTCTAGTCGAAACAGTCACTAGGTCTACCAAGCCAAATGTCTTCAAGAAGGTTGTATCCTTTCTATTGAAGTCGCCAGTAACGATACAGATAGAGCAATCTAATTTAAGCAGTAACGTTGAAGAAAGTTGACCCTCAAAAAGCTTTAACTCTGATGCGGATGCGTCAGGAGCAACGTATACGTTTCCGGCGATGAATGATTGAAAGCCACGTAAGAACTTCGGTTTGCATTCAAGTAAGTGGCAGCTTATAGAGATTGTTGAATATGTGAATATTACGATTGCTGAGTTGCACCAACGTTGATTAACGTAACTTATAACGCCTCCAACATGGAACTGGGGCTTTCCGAGGCGGTCAGACCTAATGGTATACAACCAGCTTTCTTGTAACAGAATGATTCCTGTATTAACAAACTCATTTCGCTGCATAACGGCACTGAGAGCACTGATTTTACCAAGGAGCGAGCGAACATTATTGGAAAGCATCAGTGGGACTTGCGCTTTGTCGACAGAACAACGACTGAGACCAGGTTGCCAGCCAGCACGATGATTTCGCTTATTTCCAAGACATTTATCCCGAATTCATTTGAAGGTGCTCCTGACTTTATGACCGTAGTCGATAAAGCACAGATTTAAGGCAGTAACGCGTAATGTTCTCAAATGGTTGACGGAGTAGGACAACATAGACCTTGAGATTTGATCAGAAAAAAACACGAATAGTTTCGAAGTTATAAATGAAATATGGAACCCACAGTCGGTAGTGCAAAATAATCTTCCAAGGAGAACAACAACGGCCGAATTTGAAGGCCCAGCGAAATGTTAAAATGGTCGAAGAAAGGGTGATTGAAAACGTGACAAGATACTCTCTGTCAATTTCGTTGGTTGGTAAAACACCCATTCCTCCAATCGCCTGTCGTCTTAGCCTGTTCAACGTTGGAAATCATCCGCGGTTAGGTGAATGTGAGACTGAGAGGTATGGCTGGTTTAAGTGAGCATGAACTCTGAATAGCAAGGGGACACACAATCTAATCATCGAAAAGCGAAGTGCGTCAGTTCCCGTTTGCATGTCGGCACCATCAAGAGGACTATGGAGCCTTTCAAGCCAAGAAACAAGGCTTAGAAATGATTTCAGAAGTTTTGAACACAAATCGGTTTTGGTAGGGTTTTATTGTGGCAATCGATGGAATTAAAGTATGCCTTAATATGTCATATTTCACTTTCAAGTCGAGACTGTACTCTCAGGAACAGGAACTTGCCATGGGGTTAACAATATCCCCCGTATTGGCAAATCTGTATATGGAAGACTTTGAGAGAAGGGCGCTGACAAACTCCAGTAGTTCGCCAAAGATTTGATGGCGCTACGTGGATAATACGTTTGTGATTATAAAGCGAGATATGAAGGGTGTGTTTCTAAATCATCTGAACTCCATTAATGGAAATATAAACTTTACTATGGAACTAGAATCTTGCAGTGGCACACTGCCATTCCTCGATTGCCTAGTTCACAGAATCGGTTGACAGCTAAAAACGACGATATATCGTAAGCCAACAGATACGGACGGAGTGCTTCATTACAGTTCGGGTTATCCAAAACAAGTTTATGCCGTTATCGCATCCTTTCTGTTTCACAGAGCCCAGACTCGGTGTACAGAGGAGGAGAACACGAAGGCCGCTCGTAGGGGGACGGTGAGCAAATTAATAGACAGTGGATATCCGAGGCGATTAGTGAAACGCCAGTTGCAGAGAGCTCTAAATCCACATCCGCGACGCACAACGGAGTGGATTGGGATAGTGGGAATCCCCTATAAAAAGGGAACCTCAGAAGCAGTCAGACGAGTACTAAACAAGGAGAAAATAAGTGGTTTTTCGAAAGGGTCAAACGCTCTATTCAGCACGTGTGCGTTTGAAGGATCCACTTTTAATAGACAGGACGACAAACTGTGTTTATAAAATAAATTGCAAAGACTGTGAACACGTGTATATAGTTCAAATAGCGAGAGAGCTACGCACGAGGATAGCAGAACACAAAAGGTACGTTTCGCGTCCACCGAGAAATGAGCCTGAATACAGGGCCCTACTAAAAGCTTCAGCGGTGGCCATACATGCGCTAGAGGCAGGACACGCGATTGATTGGGACAATGTCGAGATACTTAAGAGAGGATTACCAGCAACAGGCCAAAGGTTGATTGCTGAGGCGATCGAGATTACTATGACTAATAACTGTGTGAACAGAACAGACGGAGTGGAATTATCGAACGCGTGTCGGGCTGTGTTAACCCGGTCAGTCAGAAAAGGTGTCAGCGGACGAACTCAGGTCGGAGCGTGAATCAACAGCTGCAAGAAAGGAATGCTTCACATGTGAACGACCGGTGACGTGGATCAATGAGAAACGCTCGATGCTTGTTGTTTCATTAGCATGGCCACTTGACCTATTGACCTGTAACATTATTATCCAATTGTTCATGTTATGTCTTGCAACCTTCAACTTACATTCGCATAAAAAGCTAAGCCAATTTTGTAACGATTCACCTGGCCTGAAGAAGCTCTTGTGTCAAGAGCGAAACATTGCCACAATAAAACCCTAGCAAGACCGATTTGTATTCAAACCTTCTGAACTCATGAAATCTCAGTCGGTTCCAAGCATATTCCGAGATATTCAAGGCTTAGAAATATTCGTAACACCCAGAAGAAGGCACCAGAGCATAGGAAATAGCATACACAAAAGAAGCAGACAACGGCAGCGAATACGCAACATTTAGAGTTGGCTTTCTGGCAAGATCGGAGATTGTGGCTACTTCATAGCCGGCGCCTTCGAGCGAACCCACAACGTATATGTACAAAGTCCTGTAAGTACTGTTTTTTTAAATTGGTCTAAACATTTCACCTCCCCATACTATCAACGGATGCAGTGAATCTCAGTGAGAAGGAGCTGTTGCAGAAAGCTCTGTAAATAACATAGGTTAAAATTCTACCTAGTACTATGACCGAAAAGTCAGAATGCTTACCACCTGGCGTTAGTTAATATACGTGCATTGTTAAATAAGAAGCATTCACTTGGTAGTTTTGTGTATCCTAATAAGCCTGACTTTGTTTTACTCACTTAAACCTTGTGCAACACAAATGTATCAGGCAAACGATTTCGATGCACGTATTGGTCGGGTCGACCAATCAGCCTCTATGATCGGCCTCGAAATTAACATCAACAAGACGAAATACTTCTCATCGTCAGCCAATCAGTCCGATCCGTCGCTCTCCTCACATGAACAACGTATCGAGTCTGGTCCTGAATTCAAGCACCTTGGATCCACTGTTCCCCCAAATGTTCAGACTGCATCCGAAAACTGGAATCGCTTTGAGAGAGAGAGAGTCAGCACAGCCTTCTTACAACCTAGAAACATGTTGTTATGACGGACGGAATTAAGTATGAAAACGAAAATCCGAGTATTCTCAGCAACTATTCGAGCCATTTTATTCTATGGCTGCGAAACATGGTCGCTGCGACCCGAAGACACCCAGAAGCTGGAAGTCATCGACAAACTGGTGTCTAAGACTTAGCTTGAAAACGCAGTGCCATGAGCCTATCACAATGACAAAGTGCGTAAGCACTGGTACGGCCTTCCGAAGTTGTCAGCGCCCAAGCAACGCCGCAGACTTAAGTGATTTGGTCACGTCTTCCGCAGAGTAGACTAACTACACTAGGGCCATAATTTCGCCCACGCCTTGCCGAGGTTGGTGTTGTCGCCGTGGTGGATCCTTAAAAAGGTGGCTCGCTGCAGTTAAATCGTATGGCGATCTCCGGGAATATCACTGGATCAGTATCAGCGTGAAGCTTACCGCTGAGAGCCGCGCTCGAGCAGCTGCAATCCGCGACATTCATGAAGCAGCCTCATCTTGTCGCAAGAGCTAGCCGCAGTAAAGAAAAGTAAGTAAGCTACAAATTGGAACCATTCTTTCCCCATGATCCTCATGATGTCTCGGATCCATTTTACCACAACTTGCCTTACTGTTGGCAAGTGCTTACATTCTACATAAAGAAAACTTGTGCAAGACCTTTGGCTACGTGTGTTATTGCTAACAAGGTCAGGGAAAAATTCCTACACTTCTGGAACGTATAAAAAATCGTGATTTCCGTATGGTGTTGCTTCACCGAAGGCTTGCAAATGAAAGGTGTTTGAGGAAAGCTGCGCATCTTGGGTAAAAAGAGGAGCGCTTCTTACAAAACGAGAACAAGGTTGGTGAACTAGGCATCCTACTGAAAAAGAGAAAAGATGACAGATGGACCTACCCTCATATATTATCACGCCTATTGCTATAGCAGATACCTTTAATCCATACGCTGCTGAATCATTTAGCACCGAAAATGCGATTCCGGTACATGCGGTTTCATCTATCACCTCCGTAACTGCTTTCGTTGTGGACGTCAGCGTCGTTAAACGCAAGATTAACTTGTCGCGGTGATAATATTCCAGTAGTATTAATGAACATGACCAGTCCTGTCCTTAGAGTTAGCCCAATATCCTGAGAAATGGAAGCAGTCTGTTGTCATGCCGCGATAGAAATCTGCGCCTGAAACAGACATTCGTAATTATCGCTCTATTTGACACACTCGCATTCTATCACGAAAGATTGTAGAGAAAAAGTGCTTTCTTCTTTTCGCACAGTTCTTTCTCACCATCGCAGTATGACTTCTCAAAGTCACACCCATGCATGACTCGTCGAACTGAATGACTGCGAATTGCGGTACACTGTGATCTTTCTGGCAGTGCAAAAAGCGTTCGATCGAATCCCACACAGAAGACTAGTATTGAAGCTGAGTAGCTTTGGTATATCAAATACGCTTCTTTTCGAGTCTGGATCTTATCTGACATGACCTCGCAGACAGTCAACATACATATGTTGATGTTTACACATCAAAAAGTTAACAGTTGCATGTAATCATAGATTGAAGGCCATTTGTGCGGGTGTATACAGAAAGACTACTTTCAAGTACATTTGAACTCACCGGTATCTCTGAATCGACTGGAGCAGCTGGGAAGGATACGATCGGTCAGAACGAGAAGAGCCGAGGTGAGCACAGACCAGAAGCGCTGCTGTGTGACCAGAAGCTGATCCGGACGAACCTCGTTAATTGCTCCAGACATGTGTAGTGATAATTTGGCCGGATCGGACATACCGACCACTAGGTTAAACTGCAATCCAATGAGCTTATAGAGCTAGAAGATGAGAAAGATGGTGAATCAGAACGGGTCAAATCTCCGTTAGAGGGCATGTGAAAGCAACAGGGAATGAAAACGATTCAGCATCAGCGGGTAGCCTAAGCAACTGCAATACATCGAATGTACTAAACGTTTTGATTATCGCTTGAATGCACACAACACAAACTGAGGGTTGATGGCCATGTCGAACTCCGGTTAAGCTGCATGAAAAGCAGCTGGACTGATGAGGATTACACGGACGACAATTACGAGGCAACGCACTAAATGCTGATGAAACGCTTCAGACCGGTTCGTATATCTGGTATGCGCCCTGTAACATTAAAGTACAAAATGCCTTCGCAAGACACTATTTACTTGCCACCTCATGGAACAATGAGGACGAGGAACTGGGGAAAAGTGCTCAATTGAACTATCTTAGTAGCTGCAATTAGTTCAGTTGTTGGTCTCACGAATTTGCGGCATCTCCGGTGCCCGAAACAGGGATTTCCATCGGTCTAAAGACCATCGATAAAGCTTCAGCATGGGGACCGCTCTCTTCAGCGACACCGAGACACGACATCAGCTGGTTTGAGAATCACAGACGTCCTCAGAATGTTCACCATCTTTGCCTAAGATGCGCAGCTAGTGTATATGACGATGAAATGCACGGGAGAGTGCTAGCGGCGAATAGTGAATTGGTGCAAAATAGCAACAATTGGAGCAAATGGGTTGAGCTGGTTGGAGTAATTACTACGTAAAGTTGCTCATCGGCAGCTGAGAAGGTCTGATATAGTTTACCCAATGTTGGACGGCATTGCAGAGCGATGAAACCTTTGACTAATAAACCGAGTGCTCTCAGACCGCCATCTCGAGACCCAGGTTCAGCTCCATAAAACTCTGTGCTTGGTGCGAGACATAACAAGCAATCGGACCCAATGATGCGTCTTCTTTTGCCTCCTTGCTGAACCGTCAGATGCTGAATTACATGGATGAATGCCTCAAGAGGTTTATCTCGCTGATCCCACCCCATTACCAGAGGATGCCAGGATGTACGCAGTATTCGTGAAGTGTACGTGACTTGATCAAAAATTTTTGCTTGCTAACCCTCTTCACACTTCCTATTCTACAGCAGTATGGTTGAATGGCAGTGACATATTACTACGAAGTACTAAACGGAGCGGAACTGTCAGATCCGCGAAAATCGGCGAAGTTTTGTAGCACATTGTCAGAGAGAAAAATAACACCAACCTGCTCATCGACTTCCGTTCCGTCTTTCGGGCCTGACGCATTGACGTCCGATGAACTGGCTAGAACATCGGTGTTGACTGCACCGGGAATTGTATGGCCCGGTTGTGCACGGCATAGCCTCCAAAGGCTGTACAGGGGGCCAAGAGAAACGGCAATAACACTCCAATCTGCTTCATCCGGATTGAGTAGGCGTCGTTGTCCGGTCACATCATCACGAGCCAATTGGCTTACCAATTGTAGCAGCAAGTCTAACACGGACTGCCCGAGGACGGATTTATCGTTGCCACTTACTTGGAACAAATGCAGTGCTTCGATTAGTGTATGCAAAAGGGTTGCAGCTGCTCGACGGACCATACAATCGGCGCAGCTCACACAAGTGCGGATAGCCGGAAGGATGATTTCTGACACCGCATGATCTATATCCGAAATGCGACTGGTGATGCGAAAGAAGGGACCGGTTGAATGTATTACGTGAAGAGATTAGGGCGTGAAGCGAAGGGGAAAAAGGCAATACAGATAAATCAAGAACGCACTGCAAACAAGTTAGCAGCGAAGATATTTCAGTAAAAAGTAAAATATATAACAGCAATGGCATTGGCACAGAAGCAGATGTTGGTATCTCAAGTAGTTTAGTTGTTAGTCGAACTGTTCGATGAGTTTGACAAGGTTGTTGCAAACGTGTCATTAAACGAGGTGACATTATCAATGCGATGATATGCAGCAGATCAGAATGACGCGTATCATGACCACCTGAGAACTGTACGCGATCCACTGTGATGGTGTACATTGACAAAAAGGATTTATCGGTTGATGAAATCAGAGATTCGGGATTAGTGCTTCGGTTGAGTAACTCAAAACCTGCAGAAATGCATCGCCTACATGGGAAAAAGAAACGTGCCGCATTCGCAAATGGAGATATTCGGAGGAGCTACATTAGTAAAATAGGACATCAGGAGTGCGCCGGTACGCAGTACGGGCACTCTGCTGCTGCGCAGCCATCACCAGTCGCGCGTGGGCCAAAGATACTGCGAGAATCGCTCAGTCCCCTACGTGGGCTCGAATCCGCGACTTCAGGATTATAAAGTAGGTTTGTGGTTCTTAAGGCCAAGGGCCAACAGCCACATTAGTAATGGGATTTCTAATCCGACCTAGCGCGGTAGTCGTGCTGTTGCTTGCAGTTCTTGCATTTCGATTTGACATTCCATCGAGAGATTAAGTTTAGTCGTTTCTGTCTAATATCCATTAGGGATGATGACTGGGTTCTACCACATTTTCCAAACCATGATTAATTATTTTCATATGTGAGACACGAACTGAAGGAACTGAATTTATCGGCTTCGATGTCTGGGTCATAAAGGCTTCTTAGAATCGAGACATCAAATATGAGGAAAGCGGTGAAATATGCAGAGAACCTTGATGGAGTAGGTAGAAGGCATGAAATAAACACTGGTAGTGGCATTATACGAAGAAATCGCAAAATGGCGTGCAGATGAATACAAATCAAAAACTTCCGTAGGAAGTAGACTAGCGAGTAAGCGACCCTTGGAACGAGCGCGCACCAGATTCGATGAAGGTGTTGTTTTCGGAGACACGGTGCAAAAACGAGGCAACATCTCAACATGCCGATAATAAAGGAGCATGATCATAAAGTGCCTTGAGTAAACATTCTGTTTACCCGAGGAACGGTCGTGTACACTGTTAGGTCAGACCAAAGTCAAATGCGCACAGAAATGAAACAAATCGACTTGTTCGGGAAGGTAAGTGCGCAAGTTCCCCAAGTAACCGTGTGCCATGTATCAGAACAGTCTCAGTTACAAGCAGACTAGAGTTTTTCTGTGTTGCAGAACATTTGTTACTACCGCTTGTTTCATACCACTCACACGTCCCGTGATTATTTGAGATCGATAAATTCAAATTAGCACTCAGGCGTGATTTGAACTGTAATCAGAGTGTTTTCATACCCACGTCGGCCCGTGCACTGTTTCGCAAATATACCTCTCTTCCGGTGCGTTGTCTTTTGACTCGCGTGGCGCAATCTAAGAAGCTGCCAAGTCGCACCCCTAGGGACACAACATACACAAATCTGCTCTTTATATGCTGATTATCCTACGAATACATATTCAAGATTGCTTGTCGTCTGTACCGTGTGTGGTGGTAGTTGGCGAACGAGCGACGCTCGCAATCGCCGGACAGAGCCCCCGCTATCGCGGCCAAGTCTTGTGACCGCCTCAGTGCGTTCGATCGAGTGAGCGAGTGAGTTCCAAAAACCCAGCTAATTGGACAGAACCTCAGAATTGTGAATAGAGTGCTTGGGTGCTGATCCGGTGTGTTGTCTTTTTCTTGAAGCGGCTATGGAACTAAGGTAGATAACATGGTGACAGAGGTCCAACGGTGCCAAATTCGCGCGCCATTGAGAAGCAATCAATGATCTCCTTGTTAACCCCTCTAGAAATGAGAGAAAGCACATTGTTGGGCAACTGGAAAGCGGACTGAATGGAATTCGCGGCATTGATCCAGTTGGATGAATATCCAAGACCATACCAGTTGGCAATGTTCAAATACTGCATCGGCTCTTAAGCAAGTTGGATAATAGAGGCCTGGGGTTTTTGGAACCATGAATCGGATCTTTTGGAAATAATCGAGCGATCTGAAGAATGCTGTAAAGGTCGGTCGTATTATTTTACTCATTGCCGCCGAGTGGCCGAGAATCGTTCAGTCGAGCCTGAAAACGATCGATAGTCGCGAAAACGATTACCAAATAATCTGGAAAAGCAAGATCAGCATTGCATTCTTGTAATACGCAGATTCAAGGATTACCAGTACCGTCAAGACTTGATTCAACAGACACCATGACTACGTTGCCCGAGAAACAATACATCGGAGTGCAGTGAATTGTGATACACAGTTGTCACAAAAGGCGGAAGGACTTCGTGGTACACCGAAAGGGGAAGGCTGTGGTGGATGCCCTAAAGAAAGCAAAGAATAGACTTCTGAAAATCAAAGTGGCTCATGAGGAGGCCTATCTAATGCGAATGGGAAGAAATACGCGTTCTACCGAATTCGGTAGCAGTCCAGTGCAAGGTCAATTCAGTCACAAAGTAGACCGCAAGTTCACCCGCAGTGGACGAGGATATGGAAACTGTAACACAAGAACTACGAAAAAAAGAAAAAAGGAGGATGTGTTGGTAGTTGGCGAGCGAGCAACGTCAGTTTCATATGCGCGCTTGCAATCTCCGGACAAACAGACAGCTCACGCTATCGTGTGACTGCCTCAGTACGTTCGATCGAGTGAGTTCTAAAAACACAGCTAATTGGACAGAATCTCAGAATTGAGAATAGTGCTTGTGTGCTAATCCGGAGTATTGTCTTTCTCTTGACGCGGCTGTGGAACTCAGGCACATACCACTGTGGATTCAAGATGGTTACCAATCAAAAGCATTTATATGACAAATTCAATTTTGAATAAAAATTGTGCGCCTAGTGTAACCGCAGAAAATTGATGAAAAGATAGGTATTTGAAAAAAATACATGATACGCCAGCATAAAACCCAAGTTTAAAAATATCTAGATGGGTAGTCACTAAGTGAAATTAATATTGAACCACAATCACACGTAATTTGTAAGGTACTACTCTCGAAGCAGTACGCCGCACCCAGCGATCCCTGCCCCAGGTATTGACAAAACCCAGACGGGAGCATCTGGCACCAACAATCATTTGTCTATCAATTTAATCATACGGAGAAATAAGACTTACCACAAACACCAGATGGCAAGTCGAATTGAATCAAGCTCATAGCTCTCTCGTACTTGTAAAAATATCGCATTCGTTAGAAGCACACGAGCTCTGTTCGACTCTGATTTCTGCAATAAAATTATCACGTGGAAACGAAGAAAGATGAGTTGTTTAGAAAATGAGAATATACACAATAACAACCTGAGAGCATGTGACTAATGGGAGAAAAAGACGGAGTCTATACGAGTTGTAAGTATTAAGAATGGTGGAACAAAGCCGCAATTGGGCTAAACCAACTTACACTTAAACTAGGTCATTTTAAGCTGGATGTCATTCCACTTTCAATGATTTATTCTGCCTATCTTAATAATCTCCTATTAACTTGTACACGTTGCCTACGTAAATTGTGGTTCTCTTCGTTAACTATGTTGCGTTTGTAGCATTTTTAAGCAACTGCACATTTTGTACTTATCGTGGATTCATTGCTAACCAACATATTTCATATGCTAAATTAGAGAAGAGTTATTTCTGCATAGCCGTATGCTTTAAGAGAGATTTTATTAGATAATATTATTTCTAGTGATTAAATGTTGCTTGATATCCCCGGTGTGGCTGCGCTTGATGTGAATGTTGACAAGGTACCTACCTGTCTATTACCCACTACCTCGTCTATATTGGCTCCAAAAGACGGCTGGTCGTTGCTGGAGTGGACAGGGTGCACGGTTCTTGTGGCCGTGTTAGGACCAAATAGTGGTTCCATGCACTTAGTGTGGAGCGGACTACGGTCCAACCACCGCGTTGTGTGCGATTGATTCCCTAGTAGAGCGTGCTTGTTTTTGCCTGTGAAGGAGTATGGGCCGGCTCCGTTGATGAAACGTGGCTCAAATCCACATGCCTCCCGGACTTATTCTTTCGGGTTTACACTGGATATGGGGGTGTGTGGATGGAGCTGTGGGTGGTGCAGCGCAAGCCATCCATGGTCCCTCTGTAGGCGCAGGCGTCTTGTGGCTGTCCACAGTGACAGCCAAATCCGAAACTGGATGTCGCCAACTATGTTGGAACAAACCCGATAGAAGCAAAAATCAAAGAGGCCCACCGCGAGATGTTGCTGATTCCTTACTGTGATTTCGTGGCTGTGCCAAATTCGACAGGAGAGTGTCAAAACCACCAATGTTCCCATAGAGGAAGGTGATTAACACGTTGATGGTGGTAGTCCACCTGATAATTCCGATACACAGGGCCGGCTCCTCAAAGCGCTCATCCCAGCGTTCTAATCGACATGATAAAGAGTAGATTAACTGTCCATTCTCTCTGGTTTAACTCAAGAAAGACATGATTGGACTTGTATGTCGAATACATGACCTCCGTCTCATCATCCATCGAAAACCACCAATACCTCGCATATTCTCAGAATCTAACTGATTTGTCATTTCAGAATGCCACGAAAACTGACATAAAGATGGAACAATCTTCCTTGCTCCAATGAGGCTCTGACAAATTCATCCAATGTGCAGATGCTGTAAGCTGACTGAGTAAGCGACCTTAAGTGCTCTATACTGAGGTAATTACATCTAACAGCCTCGCTGATGTTGTAATTTGGATCGACGTTGCCGCATCGGAGATGTTCTGATTCCAATATTTTGGTGGCTTGAGCATTAACCACACTAGTAATCATTACGGTTTATTCGTTTAAAGGACTGGACGTTGAAGGCTACGGTGGGGAGCGGCAGTGAAGGTAGTAAAAACCCACCTTGTGTTCAGCTGCCGCCTGTTGATTCCGATGGAGCCTGTAAGTTGAATTGGGTACAATCAACCGTTCACTAGAATTCAGTCTAGAATGGCAGATTCAGCGCTCCTGCTAAGAGCGATTCCAACATTGTAAAGATAGCGAGCTGCGGGTACGGTTTCACCGGAGACTCAAAATATGCTATGGCGCCCATACACCATAGGTTTGACAATCAACAATCAAACAGAACCCATACTCTGAAGGTGCGAGAAGACAAGAGAGAGTCAGTTATGATCATCTCGAGGGAAAAGTTGAATGGGGCACCCATGACACCCAAATTGTCGTTGCGAACTGGTAGAAGAGGCGCATGTAGACGGCCACACGACGGCGAATGTCGTGGCACAGAGAGTTGGTACTACAAAGAATCATTCGTACAAACACTTTGAAACTTAACGCTGCTACAAATAAGTACGATTAACCGGTAGATCTCAGGTCAAGAAAGACTACTGCGACAGACCATTTGTGGTTGTAACATCTAGAAAAGAGAAAAGAAAAGCTCGAACCGTGTACTCACTACCGTAGTGAAAAACAGCTTGGTTTCCACTGATTCGACCATCACGATGAGCAATGGGTCATTGCAACCAACTGTCACGGTTGAATAGTGGCAAAGTATGGGCGTAAGAGGTATGACAACACCTTTACTGATGATTAAGATCCCGACTAAGTTGAGTAATACCGTCTAAAGCGCGTTTTAACAGTTTGATGTTTCGGTAAAGTAAATCACGAGCAATAAGCTGCATGGCACAGGAGGATGGATCGAGCTATATCTCAGCTAGGTTAAAATCCGTGATAGTCGGCTATCGCACCCCATGGTTCAGTGGCATAAACTTCTGGCTAGTGGTGCAAGTCACTAGCGGTCATGGGTTCGATCTCCAGCAGGGAACCGAGCAAATGCGGACCACTGACGAGTTCCAATAGGACGAAACGATCGTCTGATGCTTTTCCGGATTGGTAGCTCATAAGTGCGACTTCTAATCTAATTGCAATGAACCAATTAGAATTTAAGATAGATTTACATAAAGGCTGACGAAGTATATATCATGTCCCGTGTTCACTATGTTGGATGAAGCGACATTGATAGGTCAATTCAGCAGATCGATGATCAATGATAGAGAAAAAGACTGGACGCCTAGCTGGTTAGCAGAATCCAGAGACACTTGTGTAATAAAGATAGTCTAAGCTGGAGTAAGCATCGTTCCCAGCATCACGACTGAACTGTCGTTGCTTGAAGAGATTTTCGTGACTAAGCAACTATCTGCAGCGTGTTTGTTAGCATGAACCAACGTTAGTAGAATGAGCGGCGCTAGACGTTGTCTATTTGGTATTGCCGCTTATGTTACTACGCGGCATAACCTTGACACCACCATTGGTGTTTGCTGCCACGAACTCAACGCATTACTTCGAAGAGCCACCAGTTCAAATGTCGTTGTTGTTGTCACAGGAGTATTAATGTGAAGCAAGCCATCCGAGCTCTTCAGAAGCTTAGCTTGGTAGTAAGTTTGTGCTGAACTCGGAGAGCGCACAGACAGGGACGATCGTTTGTCCCAACTGCGCGTACCAAGCCCGAGTTGTTTCTGAGCGTCACGTTATTCACGCGTAGTAAGCACCGAACTGCCAGTCGATGTCCTCAGATATGTGCCAATCGATGCAGACAAGTAAACAGCATAAGACTCAGATGGTGTGATTCCATCCTGGATAGTCTATTGACTTAGAACACGTGCATATACCATGGTCATGCTCCGGTACATGATTGATTATCCGTAAACTTTCACTGAAAGCACATCAAACATTTTCGGCAATGGTATGAGAGCATAGCCCTCGATCAGGTAAACTTAGTAAAGTGCGCTCCTGTGTACTGAACTCCAAAGCAATTCAAGAAAGAGCTTTATGCTTTAATAATGGTGAATATGCAGATGTTACACACACACACACACACACACTCCTTTAGCATTGTGAAAAAATAATACTTAGAACAGTGAGTATAAAAGTGTAGGTTACTAGGCGACATAGACAACGCAAGCTTGCTTGTAAACTCCAGAAGAACAGGTCGCACAACAAACGTGCCAAGTAGGGAATTACAGATGAGTGGTAAGCACTTGTACGAGCATAAATGGATCTATACTTCTGCCTGGTTGAGGAAGTCGATACACAGTCGGACAGTACACTATGAAGAGGATAACTTGCATCGGGCAGTATTTCTGAAGCGTTTTTTGCATGAACTGATATGAGTAGACACAAGAAAGTCAACAAAGGTCGCGGCTTTGGAATGCCACCACTACATTGAGACAACTGCGTCAATGATGTATCTAGCTCAAAAACCAAGAAATGTCACAGGAGAGCAATAGATCCAGTGTGGTAAGACACACGTGGTGATAAATCACAGCATTCGGTAGCGGGAGAGATAGAGAGGAGTGTCGCAAACGAAAAGCTTAGAGAGTAAGCCTGATTTTTGTGAAAACATTCACATGGAGTGACCAAGAGAAATCGTGGCTGTGTGAGACCTAGGTACTTCACTGACTCAGTGGAGTGCAACCTCCTGTCATCTAGGAGAGGTTCAGGGCAATTTATGAGTTGTTAAGAACGACGGCCTTTGTGTAGGAAACATATAAGGATTCATTGCATTTTAATGTATCCAGCGATAAAAAAATGAGCCCTGGACCATCAAACAATCGTATCTAGATAGGCTTATAATTTGGTTGATGAAGCCACGGTCAGAGGTTGGATACCTAAGACCACACTGTCTGCATATTTCAGCAGTATCAGTTCTTCATATATAGGTAACGAGGCGACGTTAGTGGAAAACTGGGAGAGAGGCAGTGTGGCCCCTTGAAGAAGTCCGGCAACTGTGGTGAACAGCGAGGAACTTTTACCCATAAGTCAAGTGAAATGGAAACGTCCAAGGAAATAGCCCCTCAACGGACAATAAAAGGTTGGATTTCGGTATCATTTAGGTATCTTTCCAAAGAAGCTTACGGTTTACACTGCTAAAAGCATTACTGTAGTCGAGAAAAGATTAAATCGGATTTAATCTTGTCGTCTAGTTACCACAACACTGAGTGCACAAGATAGGCAAATGTGTTTTGAGTAGACTCTAAATTACGATAAGTAAACTGGGCGAATCATCTGAATGGGTTTGAGTCAGAAACTCTCCAAAAATAATCTCGAAGAACTTCAAGTTTCCTGAGGTGCAGGCAATTGACCGATAGTTATCTGTAACGCTTTTGCACTGATATAATTCTAGTACGGCTTCAACAGTCAGACATTTAACCTCCTAACATGCACAACGTGTATAGGTCAGCTACAGGCTGGGTCAAGGAATCAGTACAGGAGAACAAGGGGAGATAGTCCATCAATCAGGTGGACAACCGATTAACCGACCATCGAGCAGTGGCGTGCCCCAAGGCACTGTACTGGGACCGATTTTGTTCCTGATCCATGTAAACGATGTGCCTCAGCTACTCCATTCACCTTGTGCGTTGTTCGCAGATGACTTGAAGGTGTGGAGAGGAATCCGCGCACCCAATGATTGTGAGATGCTTCAGCAGGACCTCGACCGCCTCTCCAAGTGGTCTGCAGAGGTCAACCTTCCGATTAACCCGGTCAAGTCGCAATTCATCAGACTGGGTAAGTTTAAGCACAGTCGAACCTACACGGTGGCCGGTCAACCGTTGCATCCCGCGCCTGTCGTGCGAGACTTCGGTGTACTCTCACGCTAGGAGCTAAAGTCCATGGACAACACGAATAGGCTTTACCAATACAACCATCGTATGCTTTGGGCGCTCAGGCGAAGTTTCAGCACTTGGACCGAAGAGATTGCCAATCGCCACCTCGTCTCAATAATACGACAAATGATAGAGTATGGCTCTCCCGAGTATTGTTCTTTCACCCGAGGAGAGGTAGAAAATACTGAGCGAGTGCAGCATGTGGCCACCAGGCTGATTCCCAACTTACGAGGTGTGCCGTACGAAGACCGGTGTAAGAAACTAGGACTTTACACCCTAGCTTATCGTCGACTGTGGGTTGACTTCATCAGGACACACCGGATATTACATATGGGTGAATACCCCATGTTGAGGCCGCTGCTGCATCTGCGCACACGAGGACACCGGTACAAGTTTATCGTACCGGGTTTGAAGCGGGTCGCACACCAACTCTGTTTCGAACGCAGAGTAGTGAATGTATGCAACGACCTGCCGCAGCACGTAGTTGAGTCAAAGTCGGTGTTGGAATTAAAGAAATTCGTAGGAAAATACTTTGCCGATATAAGAGATATCGCGCGCACTCAAGCAAAACGGGTCTTTGTACCCGAATGATATTAGATGCAGCTACACAGAGATCACTTCTTGCTGCTTGCAACCAGTAATCAGGACCATTTACCTTGGTGAAATTTAGCTGCAACACTTTACGGTAATGGTAGAAAAGAGGTTGTGGGTCTGTCCAATCAGGAGAAAGAGGGGTAGGAATTGCAGTTAGCATTGAACAAACTAAACTTGCTGTTCAATTCTTCAACGTTCACGTCTGGGTTCGACACTCGGCGAGAGACCACTAAGTTGGTTAGGCATTCGCCAGACCTCCCGACAGTGGTATGGACAAATAAGTAGATTAGACGAGAAACTCTACTTTGGTAGAAATAGAAATAGATTTAACTGAACCGTGGTATTTTCTTGCGCAAGAGTTTCAGAGGTAAGGAGATGAAAACCAAGCAGCACGGATGAGATTGGCTTCCAGTGGGCAGCAAGTCTCAAGACAGAAATTATGGTAGCTGGTTAACTGTTCACAGTACGTAGACACATCAGTGTCGAAAAATATACTAAAGCCTGTAGATGCAAACATTTCTACTAGTTGACTTATGCTCCAAGGTAACATTAACTTCTCTTAAGTTTGTGGTCTTTACAACGAGTAACCTACATATGATTTATCTATCTGTAGACGATAGCAGATAACTTGAGATCTGAGTGATCAGAGCCATCAATCGGTGCCTGATTGCACACGCACAAAACAAAAGGTCTGGGGTTGCTTCAAGTCTAATGGATGAGTTTACAACAGTGCGTAGACCGATGCCTGGGAGGAAAATGGTGTCAAATCTGTAGAAATCACGGACAAAAATGTAGAGAATAACCAAAGCGATCGATGCCGGTTGAGGTGAACGAATCGGAAAAATTCCTCAAGACTAGACAGCCTAGGAAAAGCTAGATAGTTGCCAACAAAATGGATTGGTAGTTGTTTAAACATTTTGTTTTACATTGTAAAGGTAACAAGTGGCTAAGAAAAGGGAAACATAGTTTTGTTGTCGTGTGTTGTGTTTACGTGATATAGGTAACACCACTTCGGCCACGGCTCCAGTATATGTACATAATCAATCGACAGGATGGCAAATGAATTCCTGAATCGCTATAATTGTGCCGTCCACATCCACAAGTCTCTTGCAGGACAGTTTTGCCTAGCTTCGAGTATTCATAAGCACAGGTTGTGCTCTTAACCTAATCTATTTTGCTCACAATAGATAGGGTATTCGAGCAAAGTTTAATGGGTATCCTCAGGCTTCGAAATGTTTTCTTTCGTAGAGTAACCACGCATCAAGCATGACGCTTTTTAGTACAATTGTTGTGCTTCTTGTTGACTGGTTTCAGTTTATTTTTTTATAGATTGAACGTCGAAAACCGGAGAGATGATTATTGTATGGCTTGGTGTAGAAGAATAAAAGGAAGGAGCTGCCGAAGGCGTGAGTTTGTAATTCCTCAGATGGAACAGTACAGCACGGCCAACAGTTCCACCGTTGTACCATCTTGCTCTAAGGACATCAAACTCACTTGGAATGTGGAGTCTGTGTCTACAGAACCACCGGTCACAAGCGGATATACAGTCACGATGAAAACTGAAGCACACAAAAGCATGTATGTACATAAAGGGTAGTGAACTAGTATATGAATATCAACGTTCCGAATGAATCGGTTTGTATGAATGAGACTGTGCTATGCCAAACTGATCCATAGTAAACAACACAAACTTATGTTTACTATGCGGCTGCAATAGCGTCTAGTCAAAACGTCGTATGGCTCAAAAGTACTCGATAAGCAAGCGTGCAAAAACGAAATAGCAAAGCGAATAGGTGTTTTGAGACTGTTGAGTATGCAATTACATAGAGGGCGGAAGTGCGCGAAACAACGAAGAAATTAGCGTACCACTCGGACGGAGGCTAGAAGACAGCAGTATCCAGCCAACAAACCAGTTTGGATTGTCTGGTGATTGTACTCGAAATCTGAAAATATGAAAGATTAGGGTAAAGAAATGGGATTTATTTAAGCGATCCCTATACCAAGAGACAGGATAGATAGTTGCCAATGTACAGCAGCCAAGAATCGACAAAGTAAAGAGCAGGGTGGCCACAGTGTATATGACTGGTGTATTCAAAAAGGCCGCTCAAGCAGTCTCCAATGAGTAACCCGAGAAGTAAGTGTATCTAGTTGTGTACACACATTTATTAAAGTGTAATTGGTAAGAAAGAACAATGAAATTGTGGAAGCGAAGATTCAGCTGCTAGAAACAAGATACGGACAACACAGTCACCGAACTCTAAGCCCACGTTGTACTGCTGCTTTGCTGCCCTGTGAGACTGCGACTGTCTGACTGCTCATTCACGCGCCCAGCCAACCGAAGGAATACAAAAGGCCAGAACTCGGTAGAGAGGGAGTATATCTGAAGGACAGATCAGCTCTATTTGTTGGTAAACGAAACATACTAATTTCGACGGTCAATGTCACTCACTCTTCTGCGTCTGGTTTTCAGACAGTATGAGTGAATTCCGCTCCACGGGTTACCATATTGACGGCGTAGTTCGATTCGTTTGACACGGGCTTGTATTTGCTAGCTGATTGATTCGCACTCGATTCCCAAATTCGGCGGAAAGGTCAAAGGTCGTACCACGCCCGTGCAGATGATAACTGCCTGTATAAGACAACCTACGTGCTCTGCTTACTGCTCTATCACCTCCTCTTTCGAACTGAGTATGCCAGCGTACCGTTCGAACTCGAATTTGTTCATAGGTTTTCGCTTTGGGATCAACTTGTAGCCATCGTGGTCGTCTCCGCTTTCAGATCGACATGCATTGTGTAACATCCGGTGCGTACAGATTCTGTTGTGATCCACGTAGCCGTTCAGCCTCCTCTTCCAAACCGAACGTGTCTATCAGGATGTCTTACGGTATGAATGGCGGTTCTGGGGAACTTTAAGTTTTGCTATGATTCCGCCTCAGTTGATTGGCGTGCCCGACCCATTTCACATTTCCTACCATTAGCTCGTAAATGACTCTGCCCTTTCTGCAGATCACTCTACCTAGCGACCACCTCCTCGGCTCTCGGAAGTCTCGCGCGTACACCAGATCACCAGTTTTGAAATGACGGAAATTGTCTGGTCGATTTTCCTCCACATGACAACTACAATGTTTTCCTTCTGCTTGGTACAAGATGCTTTGCTCTGCATACTGGTTTAGTGAATGGTTTGAGGTTTAAAGCAGCAATGATCATTCTGGACCAGGTTGGAGCACTGCTTCATGGCGTCTTTTCATCTGCGTAATCTGACTTTGAATTATCGGACTTGATATTTCTGGGCGCAGAGCGCGCTCTGTAAGACACCGACCAATTTCTAGATTCCAACACACTGACGCGGATCGTTCTGTAGCGCTGTACAGTACGTTCTCTAATGACAGATTGGTATCTTGTTGGAATTGCAAAAATAACGCAATGTCCGCTCTTTTCACTTAGGTTATGCCGCAAAACAGACAGAAGCATCTAAGATTTATCAATTAGTAAAGAATCAACATCCTCTGTACAACACTGGGGCCCGTGCTGTCACACCGGTTACAGTACCACATCATGTACGGAGGAGAACTAAATAAAACTAAATAAAACTGTTTCGCTACAATGAACCAAGTAGCAACAAAGACTAGATCTGATTTCCTTTAAGCATACCGTGTAACTACCTAGCACAAGTTTAGGGATTCTGTTGTTTCGCATGGCGTGAAGACTAAACCATTCAATTTCAGACGATCAACCCGTAAAAGGACAATGGTATCGAGGCGGGATGTACATCAACCTAACCAGACAAGTCAGCTGACTGGCAAGGCTGTTCAACAGGTAAGCCGCACATACACGGTTGATCGGGAACGTCAACGAATGCGATAACCAACGAGGTAGCTGTGGAGGAAACATTGATTATCGCGTAGGCGGTTACATATTGTATGTGTGAAGAGTAATAAAATTGAGGTTTAGAGTTTCAGACGCAAGATTTTGCCAAAGACAAACCAGTAGATACTTTTTCACATATACAAAGCATAGTTCGTGAAGCAAGAAGAGAAAGCTCACACGTTTTACTAAGGCTACTCAAACGTAACCTCGATAATAATGTTGTCCCTTGAATGCTAATTCGAAGGAAATGTTGGCGCAGACAAACAGCTGAAGAAAAAACCAACAATTTTTGTGCTTACTTCCCAATTTCGTTTTGTTCATCAGTGCGTTCTGAAGCGGCAGACCCAACAACTTTTGTACACCAACCGGACCGACACTGTGACCAAAAGTGGAGAGGAATTGACAAACGGAGAGACACACGCCTAAATGTTCCGTTTTGGGGAAGGAGGACCAAGGTGAGGCGAAGTGCTCGTCGAATTGATGCTTTAGGAGGGAGATAAGAGTGCATCAGTAAAATTAGTGTCACCGCGGCTAGAACGTGATTCAATACAAGTGAAATAGGAAGATTTCAGTGTGCACAGCCTGTAAAAAAGGATAATCGTTAGCTGTTGTACTTGACCCTTCATGAAGGTAGGGACCTTAATTTTGAAATGGATTCAAGCAATTGTGGTGTCACCGGAATGCGATGTAAGGAGTAGCAGGGTCGACCTGGTGACAAGGTCAGTTGTGGCATCCAGGGTTGGAGCCTAAATACCACTGTACACGATCGAATCAAGAGATGATGAGAGAAGCAGAGATAAATATCCATGCCTCGGGTCTGCCGTACTATGAACCGGGCATTGTGATGTAGGATGAAGAATGAAATCCCCGTCGCTCAGAAAAAGACGAACGGCTGTCAACGGTTGCAACATACTATGGGATGACCGGGAGCAGTTACTAAGTAGCACAGCATAGAGTCTTTCAAGGAGAAAAAATACAATGAGGCTGCTGAAACATACAGAAAAATAGTTAGATTGAAAGAGTGATCGCAGAAACGGAAGAATTCCAGGATGTGAAGAGGTCAAGGAACACCTAATCTGTCCGCACAACGCTACGTACATGAGTGGGGAGTTTGGACAACTGTATGCATGGTTAAGCTGAGTGCTCTTCATATATATTTGTGAAGTAATGACTGAGCGGGCAATACTGAGGTCCAAACAGATGCATCTCGGCAACAGGCCGTCCAGCATCGCACATACTGACCCGCTGTGTAATCCCGGAAAAGAAATCGTGGTCCGATAAAGGTTTCGTACTAAACTGACGGTCAGTCCTGTCTATGTAGATGTCACCGCAACCGCAGGTGAACTGGTAAACGACTTGAGAGGCCGAACTGACTGATGAGTTGCTCTGACGGTCATGAAGAACAAGACTTCGCGTTGTATGTATGAGTCGCAACCGGGCTGTTGCGTAGGTGTGCAAAAGGGCGGACCGGAGTTTAGGTCCGATATCATTTGATACATGGTCTCCTTTGAACGGCAAAAACAAATAAACATTCTTTTTCTCTACTGTTAACACCGGTATTTTATCCTTGGGATGCCTGTTGTGGGTCAGTAGTTCCAGTAAAGTAATACGGCCACCCAGTTCCCCCTTCTCTCCTTCCTATTGTTCTTCATTCCATAGGTCACCGTGGTAGTACGGCAGCGAAGCATCAGTTCAAGTGGCTGATGTACTGCTGCTGTTGATAATGATGTGTTACGCCTCCGTCATTGATGATTTTGGCTTCAAAACGGCACACGAAATTTGCTGTTCTGCGAAGTACTCACGGCAGTCTACATTGTCTCCGATTCAAGTAAATGGATCCACCAATTTGAAGGTCAGACAACAGCGAAAAGAAATGGCGTGTCGGCATAATTTTGCTGCAGCGTATTAGATCATGTAGGTGAAAGCGTGAAGACCAAGTACGCTGGTGTCGATGAACAGCTGACATCAATGAGCAGTCGGATGAATAACATTCAATCCTGTAACTCTGACCAAGAACTCAGGGCTTTTCCGGATCTGTTGATTAAATTTCGGTCCTTACTTGCTTCTCTACTTCATAGATTTAGTGAATAATGAGATGCAAGAGACTGAATCAGCCGCACTACAGCATGCGGACCACAGTCGACTGAAGCTGAGTAACCGAAGCAGAGCAAACATTACTACACTGTGTGTTAGTAACGCAGGCGATCAATAGGTTGTAGGCAAGCTGAAGCACAATCAGCCGCAACGTGTAGAGAAGACCGAGAGAGGAAGCAGACTCAGCTCAGTCTAGAAGGAAAAAAGCACAAAGCAAAGCACTTTGTTACGAACAACGGCAAAGCGGATTGAGGAGCACAGCCGCCAGCTGACGAACCGTGTCGGCTGGCCAGGCAGACAAAGGGTAGTTAACACGCTTAAGTATGATCTGAGGCAAAAATGCAGAAGTTAATTAAAGCGAGCAGAAGGTATGGACTAAAGCACACATACAAACTGCGTTAGACGCAAAATATTGAAAACGAACTAATGTGACGACGTTGTGACAAAATGCCTCCCACTAATATACCATACAGACAATGCTTTGCTTTACAACTAACAAATTTTGATTGTTGCCTAGGCTTTGTTTTGACTCTCGGACTGCTACCGGACACACTCTACACATTAGCACCATAAGGCGGTGGTGCTAGCTTCTGGCCGAAATAGGCAAGCAACATACGGAGGAGCGTCATTGCACACTTAGGGATCGATTGAAATATGTGGGAACAGCACGAGTGCACGAAGGAGTGAATTGAGTTGATAAATAAAGGTTACTGGGACTGCCGTTATTCTGTGTACACTGAAGGTAGCTTGGTCGGGATTGTAAACAAAGAGGTCCATACAAGTGGTCTTAAAGTTGCTATAGTCATGTGATGTTCACATGTAAGACAACGAATACATGAGGGGGAGTATGCACAGCTAACATATCAAAACGTGCCATGCAAATTATGTTGAGCAAAAGAGATGGCGTGTTGCAATCAAACTACATGGCGTGTACCCCGAAGCCAAATTATGAGTACTTAATCGCCTTGTCAAGCGTTGCTCATGAATCGCAGTGTCTTAGCGATCAAAGCGCCAGCCAGAAACCAGCAAATTCCGAGTTCCGCTCTTAACTCCGGCAACCTTTACTTGATGGATCTAAACGGTGAAGGTGCAGGATAGGGATAGAGCAACACTGTAACCCCTCCACTTTGGGTTCGAACCTAGTAACCGGAATGACCGACTTGGTTTACGTCGAAGCAAACGGAGGTCCAAAAGAGATCGCGTGCTGGAATCCAGGCACAAAGCGGCTGATCCAAAGACAAACCCTGAGTAATCGATATTCGCCTATTTGCGACTATGATCTTCAAGGATGCAATGCTAACGCCATCATAAATAAGTATAACTTATCTTTCTGAAAGTCATGTGCAGATAACGTATGGGGATCACACTATGGCTGTGGATGGAAGGAAGAATGGACTAACAACTCAATCAGCTTGGATTTCGAGTCTAGCTAGTGGTGATGCTGTAAAAAATGAAGATCGGATGCGATTATCGGTAGCTAAACGATGGCTGGCCTGCCGAACGACCTCCTCGTGGTGTCAGCTGGATGGTTCGGGATTTTCCCGTTCCAGCAAATTGTTTGGCGGTAGTGTTCCAGGACGTGGTGGGTTTTCTCCTGGTAAGCGTTCTCCCTATAAAAAGCCACATATGTCCGCCTAACAACACTGTGACGTGGCGGACGTGACTCGCCATTAAATAAAGTCACTGCCCTTGCTTTATCCTGGCGAAGCATTGTATTCCAGTAACTGGGCTGTAATTCTGGGGAGTATTGGGCCCCTGTTTGACAAAGGAACAAATGAAAGGCGTATGAACTGAGCAATCAGTCACCGGATCCCAATGGGCGCGAGTCCCTGAATTCGCTCCGTTGCCTTGCGGGCAAGGTAATCAGCCAAAAGCTCGGGGTGATGTCCCCTAAGTCAACACCCTAATTCGGCTTGGGCAAACGGGTAGTATCTCGCTCTCTGCCGAAACCATGGACTTTTATGTGTTGTGTTGTTTTTCTTTTATTAATTCTGTACCTTGTTTGAGTCCCATGTTTTCTGATGGCTCTTGTCTATTCGTAGACCGTTGCTATATATATATATATATATATATATATATATATATATATATATAATGGTAGAAACGCTGTACCAAGTTGCTCAAACTCTGTTGTACCTCAAGTTGGGCGGATATCGCTTAACGTCAGCCGGATTAAAAATTCAACCGAGATAAAAGCGTTTGGAAAAGACCAATTTCGATCAACCAGGATAGGCTGGCATGTCACTGCTTACGTCCATTTCAAGACTCTGTTAAACGTTCTCCGAGTGCAGTGGGGCAATTCCCAAAGCGATAAGTTTGGTAACTTATAACCACCATTAGTGGACCCGCGCCGACGAAGCGACACAACGAAGTTTGGAGAGGAAGCGTTCCAGGAGTTCGTGTAGCAGTTTGAACATCTTAGTGAGTCTATATCTGTAGAGTACATGAACTCCGAGCCCGGTGGGAATTGTTTCAGCGTCTCCGCTGTCTCCAGGATAGAGGAAAGATGGGTAATTTGTCTGTTAGCCATATTGCACAGGCTTTGTCGAGACTAATTTGACCCGATTCATAGAAAAGAATAGTGATACACAAATACGAAAAGCACTCTAGATAACCAAAAAGGACAACAAGCCGAGCATGCTGTATACGGAAGAGCATTGAAACATCAGACAACTAAAAGTAAACGTACACTATACAAGCAACATTGTAGCTGGTCATAGCTCCTTGAAAAAGATCGCATCGTTAAGAACAATGAGGTCGACTACTGCTGCTGAAAGGGAACAAGTTCCTCGAGCGCGCCATTTAACGGAAAATTTACATTACCTTAAAAAACCATGAATTCATTTGCCATAATAATACATCCTTGTGCACATTAATTGAAACAAACTACGATTGTGTCACTTTTTCTATTAATATCATGTTTTTATACATGAAAGCTGCCCTTTTGGCATTTATTTTTTTATTTTATTTTGGGAATAGATATTTCATCATTGTTTGTGAATCAGACGATGTAATAACTGCGCATGTCTAGTCGTTACATCACCCAAGATTGCATCATACTTTTTATGGTTAGTAAGGTTTTTGTTTCAACTTCTTGTTTTTTGTGATTCAGTCATTGTTTGAGATGGACGCGACTCCCAGAAGGCGCATGAAGATCGTGACCTTGCACGAACACACAGACAAGACCTACAGGGACATAGCAAGAATAGTAGGCGTCAGTCCGGCAACCGTCAGCCGTGTGGTCAAAAAGAAAAAGGAAACGGGATGCATTTCGCCAAAATGCAAAGGGAAATGTGGTCCTAAGAGGAAAACCACTGCCAGGGATGACGCTTACCTAATACGGGAAAGTGTTAAAGATCCTCGAAAGACTAGCGACGCAGTAAAACGTGATTTGGGGGAGAAAGGAATAGAAATCAGTTCTTCAACGGTTCGCAGGCGACTCCTGGAAGTTGGTCGGAAAGCCAGACGGCCTGTGAAAATACAACTTCTGACAAAAGTAATGAAAGTTAAGCATTACAAATGGGGACTAAAATACCAAACTGGACAAAAGAAGATTGGAGAAAAGTCCTATTCAGCGATGAAAGCCATTTCTATGTTCATGGTCAGAGAAGTCAGTATGTTCGGAGGTCAGAGAGAGAAAAGGTTCGTGATTCCCACATTGACCACTTTGTGAAACACCCACAAAAGCAGATGTTTTGGGGGTGCTTTAGTTATTACGGCGTCGGCGCCTTGCATCCAGTCCAGGGCATGATGCGCTCTCCACAATATATAGAAGTTCTCCAAAGAAGAACTGTTCCAGAACTAAAATGACATTTCCTGACGGATCTGGCGTATTTCAACATCTTGGGTCCCTGTACCAAACTTGAATTAAAGCGTGAATAAGTTTCTCCTTTGTCGTACAGTCCATGCCACGAAGGCGTTGCTTGCAAATAGACCACATATTTTCAATGGGGTTTAAATCTGGTGAATACCCAGGCCAGTCCAAGATGGTTATTTGACTAGTATTGAAAAAAGTCTTGACCATTTTTGATGTGTGGCACGGGGCCAGATCCCGCTGAAGAACTGATTTCTATTCCTTTCTCCCCCAAATCACGTTTTAATGCGTCACTAGCCTTTCGAGGATCTTTAACACTTTCCCGTATTAGGTAAGCGTCATCCCTGGCAGTGGTTTTCCTCCTAGGACCACATTTCCCTTTGCGTTTTGGCGAAATGCATCCCGTTTCCTTTTTCTTTTTGACCACACGGCTGACGGTTGCCGGACTGACGCCTACTATTCTTACTATGTCCCTGTAGGTCTTGTCTGTGTGTTCGTGCAAGGTCACGATCTTCATGCGCCTTCTGGGAGTCACGTCCATCTCAAACAATGACTGAATCACAAAAAACAAGAAGTTGAAACAAAAACCTTACTAACCATAAAAAGTATGATGCAATCTTGGGTGATGTAACGACTAGACATGCGCAGTTATTACATCGTCTGATTCACAAACAATGATGAAATATCTATTCCCAAAATAAAATGAAAAAATAAATGCCAAAAGGGCAGCTTTCATGTATAAAAACATGATATTAATAGAAAAAGTGACACAATCGTAGTTTGTTTCAATTAATGTGCACAAGGATGTAAGTGTAAAGAAGGGAGGCAGGGAGATACTTACGGTGGCGAACGTTTCCAGCATTTCACCATGGCTGTAGACAGAACCAGCGTTGGGACTTTTTGTAACCTGTCTAGGAGTGCTCACCAATAAATCAGCTAGTTTGGATAGTAAAATGTTGTCTAGCCAACTTCTCGCAGTCCAATTATCGATTGTAATCCTGTCCGAATGCATCGTTTGTGAAGTCGGAAAAGGGTCTTCTGTTGCATCACGATCGGTCGATTGATCCAAGGCAACTAGGAACATTGATTGGATGCTACGGTAGACGTCGGGGCCAAGGAGTAGACGAACATTGACAAGAGTATCAAGGGGTTCATTGGCTTCTAGATGGAGGTCAGCAGGTATAGAAGCAGAAACCATTAGGTGAACAGAATGGTGGCCGATCAAGACGAACATAGAGGTTAGCTTATCGAATGATCTGTGGATGGTGGGATGGAAGTAAATATTACCGGGATCCATGCAGAACCGCTTCTAAAATCCAGACTTGTAACAACAGCGTAAAAACCATGTAGTGTTCGGTGAAATGAAATTATGTACCTATATCTGCGGTGATAGTTGCTATCTAGGGCCAACGAAATCGATGTTGGACCAGTGGACGGGAAGCTATCGAAACACTGCCAATGCGAGCAAGTTAAAAAAATGTGCGACAGGTACCACAGGATTCACCAGATGCATCCCGACAGAAGCGCAGCGTGGTCGCCTACGCAGGAGAACCCGACTGGATCACAAAACAGCGAGCGAACAGCAAAAGGACCCTAACGAACCAAGAATGATGACACAGATTACAATGGCGGCGGGCTAGGTGCGCAATTGGAGCCGAGGAGGAGAGAGCGGACAGAAAAGGAATCAAGTGCCATTTAAGCGGTTGAGTAGGATCACACGAGCCAAACGGACAACGCCGAATTGATGCGGCTCAGAAGTAATCATGTTTAACATGGCAACAGACGGGTCAGACGTAGACTAAACCGATCACTTCAGAGGAACGGCGTATGCGAGCAGTGATATTGAATGTGACAACGGAAAATAGCCATTGGAAAGCCGCTACGTTGGACAGCAATAAGAATTTATATACAGTACAAATGATCCTACGGCAAGAACCCAAGGTGTGGCAAATATCATCAACTATAAGCATGAGCTCTGATCACCAACCAGTTCACTCATTTAACACCCTTAAGATTCCGCACCCATTCTTATTGCATATATATCTGCGACTCCCAAGAGTTCTTCCATTGTTGGAGTTTTGATAACGCCTGTTGTTGGCCCGCTACCATCTGGCTTTCTTTGCAACCTTATGCTACGGATAGTTAGCGCGTTAGTACTTGATCTTGGCCAATCGCCACACGGCCTATATTGTTAATTTCAGAGGGCTACACGACCACCGTAGTTGGTGTTTTCGGGGTTAACCATAAAATGAGGACAAGCAAGCAGTTACAGCTAGGCTGCACTCAAAATGTGCTATGAAACGACCAGTTGTTAAGCTTCAATGTCCATACGGTTCATGTCTGGCTCTTCTTTTCGAACAACCCAGTTTCATGAGTCGAATATCATAGGCCAGATGTCTTTCGGTTTCTGTCGGAGCATATCTCCGCGAGCAAGTTGTGGTCGTTAATGGCTCTGACTGGTTATATACAAGTGGTATAATCCCGAGCAACCATGGTGAGTAAATTGAGTGATGGGCCAATTACACTGGCATTATCTGCTCGGGTATTGATGTTGTTGACACTGTGCCAATTGGATTTCCATAGCCATTTTATTACCACTGAAGCAGCGATATCAAAACGAACACACAAACACGTAAACTGGTCTGATTCACTATCAACTGTGACAATATGTAGAACTGAATGACAGGGGTACCTGAAAGAGGAGGAGGGGAGAGATGGACAGCATTCGTTGAGAAAGAGCACTCGCGATTCGAAGTCACCCATTTCATCGCAGTGGTCCAGTAGGTTTGTCCTGCTTCCGGTTTGAAGAGACTGATCATGACCCAAGTGTGCAGAAAGGGGACAAGATAGTCAAGCACCCCAAGCGTGTGAATTACCGCATCGTAAGGGACTGCAGTTGATGAGTCAGTAGACCGGGCGGCCTTGAGAGAAGGGTAGATGGAGGATGCGGAACAGAAGAGCAAGGCTAGGTGTCGGTTATTGTAGGTCACATAACAGTATCTATGCGATAACGGATCCTTAGCTCTTCAACTGTCGACACGTTAAAAGAACGAGGGCCGCAGAAGACAACAACGCCGAGAAAGATTAGCGGATTGAATACACAAAGTATTCAACAGTAAACATTGCTATAAAAAATGAAGAGCAGTCAAGAGAACACAAGTGGAAACATTGATGGGTTTGACCGATAGGAGTACCCTTGAAACGTATGAAGGCTGCGGTTTACTTTAGCACAATGCAAAAACGATGGCAAGGCAACGAATGTTTAGCCAATTCAGTCGGATGCGGCACAAGCGAGAGTGACGCGACACAGTAGGCAACCGATAGAAGTACATTCGGTAGGATGTTCTAAACCGTGTTACACATCCGCAGAGCTGCAAGCCGGAGAGCAGAAGATTGATCAAAGCAGAGTAGTGAAGGAAATACGCTTTTATTGATACCACAAATAAATAGCGGTCAACAGACGCAGAGAAACGGGTGGACGAGGCTTAAACTAGGAGAGCGGACTAAGCAGTGGAATGAATTAGCTGTCCAATGGGAATACTTTGTACCAGGAGGTGGCAATTGGAGACGTGAAATTACCTTCATAATCCCTAATTATAATACCAGGCAGTTCAAGTTGCGAGATAACGTTTTATTTTGTGCATCCTCTCCAATCATCTACGTGCAACCAACAAAAGCTTCAAGAAATAGTTGCATGAAATCGATTAACTCTAAAGTGATGATAGCGACCGAGAGATGTAGCCGTTCTGCGTTCAAAATATATGACAGTGACTCTAAGCTTATGTGGTGTTGTGCATCGCACCAATTGTCCAGTGCAAACCATTATCAATCAAATTCACATAGATTTATTTTTGGAGCTGTAATCGGCTGCATGTACGTGATTGAATAAAATGCCATCTCACAGATAGCATATTCTGATTCCTGTGATGTCATTTATTCCCGTGCCAAAACATGCCGTTACTAGGTCAAACCTACTACTGGGAAGAACAGGAAGACTAGGTGTCGGTTATTGTAAGTCACACATCGGTGTAGTGCAGTACAGTGTAACAGTAGCTATGAGGTAACGGATCCTTAGCCTATCACCTGTCAAAACGTTAATAGAACGAGGGCTGGAGAGGACAAGGAGGCAGAGAAAGATTTGCAGATTAAATACATAAAGTATTCTAAAGTAAACGTCATAACGAAATGAGAGCAGCTAAAAGAATGCGACTGCGGATAGCGCCGTTCTGGTCATATTTTGCTCGTGTTCCCGTCAGGCCATTTTGCCTCGTTCTTTACATTGTTAACATCGCTTCATCTCCTGAATATTTGTGTAATTAACTCACATTATTAATTTAGAATTACTTAATTATCAATGTGATCGCTAGTTAAGCATATTTTCTGTGATTCTACATTACGCTGAGTTAGTCGTATCGATCGGTACATAATTATGAAAGGGCAAAGCAAAAACTTTGTGGCAGTTGCCCCAAAGTCGCTGGAGATGGTGCAAATGCGATTACATGCAGTTTATGCAGCATGAGGTTCCATATTTCGTGCATTGGTCTATCTGGGGAACAATTTCACGTAATCCAAGGAATTCAGCATGACTTTTCGAAGACTATTTGCAAACAATGTCGGTCCAAGCTTAGGCTGAAGGGAGGCGAAAAGTCTGACCAGCGGATCAGTAGAGCGAAGTGCGCTGAAACGCGCAACTCGATTTGTTCTACACCACAATCAGAGCACCAGCCATCACCTAGTAGGCCAGCGAATCTATCCCTGGAGCAAAGTGCTATTGTCCCAGCAACCTCGACTACAACGCATACGATTGCTTCAGTTGATATTAAAGCTCTAAGGTGCAATCAGTAGATTGGTGATAACGAATGGAAAAAGCAAATACCAAAGAAACCAAGAACAATGCCAAGCGACCTGAGGCGCCGCAGCCTTATGGTGTTTCACGCATCCGAATCCAGTGATTGTAATCCTTAGATGCACTATAAACATGACGTCGATTTTGCAAAGTCAGATTGATAAGACGGCGCAGGCTGAAAGTGAAACAAATCGCCAGTATCGGAAAGAGAACCGAGAGCAAAATTCGACCTATGAGGGTGACTTCTGTCGAAGAGGCAAGTCCTAAGTTGATACTGTCCCGCCTTAGTGGGCTGAAAGGTCTAAAGATCCACGTGCGCGCTGATTTAGACCCAGCTGACAGAGAAACTCAAGTCTGCGATAACTGAACTAAAGCGACGCACGGACGAAGGAGAAACAAATTTCCGAATTGTAAATTTTCGGGTAGTTACCACGATTCCTCCGTGAATCCGGATCAACAGGTTTCTGATGCTTCATGCGCGCCCAGCGGTTCGTACCGCGGCCTGCCCTTAACCTATACTAACGTCTGCAGTCTGATGAACAAGCGCGATGAGCTGTACTACTTCGTAAGTTCTCAACGACCAGACGTATTAGGCCCTGCTGAGACATGGTTAGACCCTGACGTAACCGCCCAAGAAGTGGAAATCAGCGGCTACTTATGCTTCCGCTGTGACAGACCATCAAATGAACGCGGTGGCGCTCTGCTTTGCCTAAGGTCTTCCTTGTGTGCGAGACTAGTAAACACTTACCGAAGCGTCGATGGTCTAATTGAGCAGTTATGGTGTTCGATCCACCTCACGCGCTGCGAGATGATTGTGGGCGTGGTATATCGTAGTCCACTGAGTCGCTGTTTGGACTGGTTACCGCATGTCCACAACTACATGAGTCGTCTGCTGTTCCTACTCATGAGCGATTGCAACATACTCTGAATACAGTGGCCTGAGGCGGAACTTCTCCCCAGTCATTGTGAAGTCGAGAGGAAGTTTTTGAGTTGATATTTGAAACTGGGGTCATACAGAACATCAACAGGCCGACCCGCATAACTGCGCGCGCGACTCCATGGTGCTTAGACCTGCTTTTGACCAGCTGTGAACAAGATGTGCATGACATACAGGTCTTAGAGCCCCGGGGAGCGAGTGACCACTCGATGATCATAGCCAGCTTAGGACTGCCGCTGCCGTAAACTTCTCGCTGGGACCAGTCTTCAAAAACTGGAAAACGGACTTTAATGGCCTCACTGGAGCAGGGAGTCAGATGGACTGATCGTTACCAGAGGATTCGTCTGTTGAAACCTATAGAAGTATCATTAAAGAAAGAGCGAAGTCGCTGTATGCCCACCTAAGTATCGGAAAGTTGGGTCCGTCAAGCCAAATTGGTTCGACAAGGAGTACAGCAAACTGGTCCGACGACGACGCAGACTACCGAACAAATTCTGGTTATCTGGTTCTGATTCGGATTACAAGAAGTACAAGGCACAGCGAAACCTCTGCAACAACATGAAAACAAAAAGCGCAGAAGCTTCGAAGAGCAGCTTGCAGCCGCCGCAAAAACGGCTCCCAATGTGCAAGTGTTGGAAGGCTCAGATGGACAGCCCCTAACTCGAGCACAGAACGTGCGTCCGCATTGGCGGCGCACTTCGCTTCCGTATTTGCAAGTGGTGTTTGTACCGAGTTTGATGAGTACTGTTCCAGCTGAAATAGGCAGCTTGAATTGAAGCATTGAAGATGTACGCAAGCTGCTGGCAAGTCTTGACGGGACAAAGCCTGCCGGGACAGATGGAATCCATACACTGATCCTCAAGTCCTAATCGCCCATCATTTCGACTTCTGTAACTGAGCTGTTCAACAAGTCACTATCCACTTGTTTATTATCAGGGGACTGGAAATGCTCAGTTGTAAAGCCAATACCGAAAGGTGGAGACTACCAAGCAAAGTGCATAACAACCGGTCGATCTGCCTGACCGCTGTTTTGGCAAAGATGCTTAAGAAGATCGTAAAGAAGGGTCTTATGCAGCTTTTCGAGTTGAAAAACCTCTTGAAGCCCGCACAAGATGGTTTCGTGAGATATCACTGTGCATCACCAACCTATTGTTGACGCGGCACGAATGGTTGCAAGCGTTGAACCAAGGCAAATCGGTCGACGTCGTTAACACTGACTTCAGTAAACCTTCCAACAAAGTGAATCATGCAGTGCTCCTGGACAGGCTGAGGGTGTGCGGTGTTAGCGGCTTGCTGCATCGATGAAAAAAGAATATGCTTGTTGATCAAAAAAGGAAAATCCAGGTCGACAACCATTTGATAGACTGGTATCCGTCGAGCAGTGGCGTGCCCCAAGGCACTGTACTGGGACCGATTTTGTTCCTGATCCATGTAAACGATGTGCCTCAGCTACTCCATTCACCTTGTGCGTTGTTCGCAGATGTGGAGAGTAATTCACTCACCTAATGACTGTGACCTGCTTCGGCAGGACCTCGACCGCCTCCCAAGTGGTCTGCAGAGGTCAACCTTCCGATGGACCCGGTCAAGTCGCAATTCACCAGACTGGGTAAGTTTAAGCACAGTCGAAGCTACACGGTGGCCGGCCAACCGTTGCATCCCGCGCCTTTCGTGCGAGACTTCGGTGTACTCTCACGCTAGGAGCTAAAGTCCATGGACAACACAAATAGGCTTTACCAATACAGTCATCGTATGCTTTGGGCGCTCAAGCGAAGTTTCAGCACTTGGTCCGAAGAGATTGCCAATCGCCACCTCGTCTCAATAATACGACAAATGAGAGAGTATGGCTCTCCCGAGTATTGTTCTTTCACCCGAGGAGAGGTAGAAAACATTGAGCGAGTGCAGCATGTGGCCACCAGGCTGATTCCCAACTTACGAGGTGTGCCGTACGAAGACCGGTGTAAGAAACTAGGACTTTACACCCTAGATTATCGTCGATTGCGGGTTGACCTCATCATGACACACCAGATATTACATCTGGGCACACACCTAATGTTGAGACCGCTGCTGCATCTGCACACACCAAGCAGCACACAAGGACACCGGTACAAGTTTGTCGTACCGGATTTGAAGCGGGTCGC